CCTATTTAAAAAAAACGCTGAAATTGAGGAGAATATTGACAAGGTTTCAGGAAATGAGAAACATGTTATGTGAAATGGCGATCATTTTGTAGCGGATTGCTACGTTAGTAAAGCCTGACCGACTCAGAAATCTCTATGGCAGATTCTCCAACATCTATCTATAATCCCAGAACCAGCTAAGCCATAGCCCAGCTATAAAGGAAACAGACGTGTAGCACGGAGCACGTTTATTCAGGACGTATATAGCAGATCAAGTGTGTACGCGCAGGGAGCTACTCATGATCAGGATGGGGGTTGTGTTAAACAGAGGTTAATGATTGGTCACTGTTTGTACGGCCGCACCTCCCAATCCTGGCGAGCAGACATGCAGGCATACGATGACGCACACAGTGATAACGTGTCCCACAATTTAACACTTATTTTACAAACTGATTCAAATGTGCAAATATTTCCAAAGCCTAAATGTACTCTCAAGCCTATCCCGCCTCTTTTATGTTGTTTTTTTGTGAACTTTAGGCCAATTTCGTGCACTTTTCGAAAATAAAAAAAATTTAGATTTTATTTCTCCACGGGTTAAAAGGCCCAGCGAATGTGGATAAGATCACGGCGAGTGCGTCAAGTGCGTGGCGACCTAAACGCTCAGAAAAACGAGATATTCAGGAAATATATATACACCTGAAGGCAAAATGACCAGCTCATTAAGGAAAGTGATAAGGTCACTGCAATGCAATGATCTTTGCCTTAATTTGCCAAATATACTTTCCTTCCTTGATAGCATTCGCTTGAAATAAGCGGCACGTTGTATCACAGTTCAAGCCAGATTCTCTCTCAGACTCGATTCCTTCTTTCGAGGCATTTAGAAAATATTCGAGCCCCTTTACAATACTGAAATTTCTTATGTGTTATAATCGTAATGTTTCAATGGAATACTTTTACAATTGAGACGCATCACGTTAAAATAGGTCTTAGTAAGTACTGTGATCGATTTATTTATTTATATCAAATGGCAGGCGTCTTGATGGTTATCATTAGCCCTTTAGTTGACTTCAGGCTTCACAGAGGGGAAGGAACATCAAACAGAACAGAAGAGTGTTTCAAAGATGTAAGAGACAAACACAAAGGTAGAACAAAGGTGAGGTGAGTACTGTGACAATAGTCGAATATGGCATAGAGTGAGGTGATGGCAGTTTGAAGTGAGAAGTCAACTGCCGATAAATAGACTTTTTTGCCGTATGAGTATACGTTGCCCAAGGTGCACCACGTGGAAGTAAGTCTATCCCACACCCCAAACCATGGGAATAAAAGCTACGATCGAACTCTGGTAAGTTTAAAACTGTGAAAAAAAGCGCATAGAACTATCCATTTAAAATAATGATTTTAAAATAGGTATTTAAGTGGTGAAGTTTGTGTCAATATTAATAATATCTCATGTTGATGTAAGTTTTAGAAAGAGATTAATGCCATCGAACTATCTCTTCGGTCTGTTAAACAAGGTAAATTCAGATAATCGAAAAAATTAAATTAAATTTTTCCTCTAAAGCTAACAAAAAGCACTCTTTTTCATTGGAAATATCACAATTTAAGCGAAATCATTTTTTTGCTAAAGTATTTGAAGTTTGAATTTGGTAGAAAGAGGAATGGGCAATCTGGATTGTGGGTGGACTTGCGAAATGTGGTGCGACTGGACAAAGGAGCGATTTCTAATTCTCAGAAAATAATTACTTTTTGAAAACGTAAAGCAAAAATTAAATTAAAATAACGGAATGCATAGTTAGTGACATACTGATTTCGGAAAGCTGAATGCTACATTTCCTCCGAATTCAGTGGGAAGCAAGCATTATATTCAACAAATCAAATGGAAGTTAGCTCAAGAATTAATAAAATAAGAAGAAAAAATTCGTTCAACTAATGCCGCATTTCCACTCCTTTTGAACCGTATGCTATTCGACGATCAATTTATACAGTTGATCAAAGAAGCAGAAAAGAGTAGAATTCGCTCGTCAATTGAATATCAACTCGTGTTTGCGACTCTAACCATTACATAGCTGTTTTTGAGTAGCTTTTCTCGAGTGGTTCATCTTGCCACATTAGAGGGGGCAATAATAGAACTACTTCTTCAACTACTTTCAAATATATTGCACAATTAATCATTACCTCATTAGTTAATCTCATTTTCAACCACTAGGCTATTGGGGAGAGAAAATTAAGTGCAGAGAATGTGGAAAAGGTTTTAAAACTTAATTAATTATTAACAGAAAAACAAAAGTTACTGCATTATTAATAACTATGGAACATACAAATTATGTTCTACTTTTTTACCTTGAGAAAGCAAATTGAATTTTGGTTTAAATAGAACCAGCAAGTGATAATGGGGGAGAGAATCAAGTTGGCAAGAAAAGCTATAGTACCAATAATCCCCCTTTATCCGAATCTTAATTTGGGGTTTGTATGTTGCTAATCGATTGCTTATGTTCCAAAATTTAAGCTCTAGGATTTATTGCCTGGATTACTAAGAAAATTATTGCCCACGGTATCCAGGGCTTAGTGAAATTTTGATTAATCATAATTTTCAGGAGATATGGTTAGTAGTTTTGCAATTTCACAAACCATTTCTTCAAATTCGTCTGGGAGTAGAGTAGCGCTCTATTAATTAGACTTCTCACTATTTTAATAACTATTGAATTTGGGATAGAAAATATTTAAATCACAGGGATTAGCTCAGGAACAATGATTTAGTCCAATAAGGGGAAAAAGGGAGTGAGCGGGATGTGAGAAATTTCAGAAGACGGGTTTTTTTCAACAAGACTCGCCTCAAGTGGATAGTCGATGTTGACTGGTTTTGAGAGGTTAGGCCATGATCACCAAGAAACAACTGCCTGATTAGACGTTTATTATCATTTCAAATGGCGGGCTTTGTGATATTTATCATTAGCCCTTAAACTTTGACTTCAGCTTCCCCCAAGGGTGGGGGGTACATTTATAGCAGTTCATTAATAGCAGTTCATTAGCCGTCTTCTTGCTTCCCAGTATCTCTGGCTTTCCGTCCTTGTCTTTAGGGCTGGACACCGAATCAGGTGGGTCTTCTCCATTTCCTCATGTAGGTTACATAGAGGGCATGTGGGTTGAGTGTATACTCCCAATCTGTGAAGATGTTTTGCCAAGCAATCGTGTCCGGTACGTAGGCTAAACTCAGCAACGGCTTCGATTCTTGGCCAGTCGGCTATATCGGAGAGTGCCACTGTCCACTGTTTCTCCTTTGTTCGACCTTTAAGTTCTTTGTATCTTGAGGTCTGGAATTCTCTCCTGATTAAGGCCTTCATTGTGTGGAAAGACATCGGGCAGTCCATCCATTGCAAAATCGTTGTCCCCCTCTTAGCAACTGTGTGAGCAAGCTCATTGCCTTTAATGCCACAGTGACCAGGAATCCATTGTAGGACCACTGTTTTGTTTTTCTCTCCCAGCAGCTCATAGCGTTTTCCACTGTTTTGTTTTGATTAGAAATAGAATAAGCAGCTTGTTGCCCGAAAGTAAGATATTCCAAATGGTTGAATATCTTGCGAAAATTAATATTTAAGTAAGAAAGATAAATGTTAGTACTTTGATGTCAACAGAATAGCCATTAGCAACTTGTAGAATAACCATTTTCGCACGCAAACGAACCCCACGCCAATATCAAATAGACAATGTTTCAAAATTAATTGAGCATTCAAAAAACCGGTGATATGCATATTCCTTCAATAATAAGCTCGAGAGAGAGAGAGAGATAACTAGAAAGCATGCTTCAAAAAAGACAAATGCAGTGTTAGTAAAGAAAGTCGCTCATAAAAGTCCCATTGAAATATAATAAGACATCATAGGCATCAGAATTGGTCAGACGAAGGCACGAGGCAGTGAGTGTGTGTGTGCGCGCGTGTTCACTTGTGAGTTGGCTTGATGAAGCCGTATTCCACGAGTTTGTTCAAAGTGATATCGGCGAGTTCATGACACTTGATTCGGTCGGATTTAGCTGCCTCACGAATGAGTTCCTTCGGACAACCCTGAAATAAAGAAAGTATAATTCATTACATAACAAAATAAGGAAGCACATTTAGCTCCTAACTTCTACGGCAATCGGTAGAAGTGCTGAGTATGTAGATTCCAAGTTTACGACAAAACCTCACTCTCGAATTTACGAGTAAGTTCGAAGGAGGTAGATAAAACGCAGCAACTACAGCAATTCGTGAATATTTCCTATTCCAAATTATAAAAAAAAATTGGAGAAAAACAAAACAAATGCCAGGGAGAGAGAGAGATTCTATTTTGATCTAATCACTGTCAACGAGAAGAAGCAGTCGTGCGAAATTGTTGAAGAGGTGAATTAATTTCAAATAAATAAATATTTACCTAAGGAAAATAAGTCAGCCAAACTATTTTCAACAGTTGTTTTTTAAAGGAGTGAAAATGCCAATTTTTGATAAATTTGCAAATATCCAAAATCCTCACTTCTAATAGCCTCGACAATACTTTTAAATCACACGGAAATCCGATAGTCATTAGTAATCTTAGTTTTAAGGATGCGATCCCCCAAGACACCTGTCTCCTTACTCGCATTCCTCGGTGAACAACATGATGGCAGTCCAGCATCCTTGTCTTTGAAACGACCTTCTGTTTCAATAGACTAAATATAAAGACAATTACTAATTAGCATCCCTTTTCAGACGCCGGTACAAAAATCATAACATTCCCTCTTTTTTTTAGGTTTTACAATTTACAAATCATTTTCTAAAATGCCAACGTGATCGAAATAAATTCAAACCTGAAATTCAACGCAATATGAGAAATACCATGTTGGTAAAGTGAATAAAGTTTGAAGGAGGTACGCGAATATATTAAATGCAAGAGTGCGTTCGATGGTGAGTGATTCATTAAGGTCTGGATTAGTGTCAGTTCACGAAAAGTTAGCAACAGATCAAAAAGAAGAGCGAAAGAGTTTGGAGCGATGCAAATATTCCCACCGTGGTAAATTAACACACCAAATAAAAGAAATACAATCCAAAAGGTGAACGCACGTCTATAAAGTTGTTTTATGCCGCTCCAAATATATATATGAATGCAGTGTGGTAGATTATTTATCGAAGTGGAAATTTTGGGAAATCCACGAGTATACTGACTCTAGTTGTTGGCAGAGAACGAAAAACGTTCCAAATTCACAATTTCGGGAAGGGGGGGGGTTTAAAACGTCGCGAATTATAATGTCATCCCCCAATGTGAAGGAGTAAAAATTCACCAACCCCGCAAAGCCGAATTTCCTCACGCTCAGGCTCAAAAACTCTAACCCCAAACCAATAAATCTACAATGCTTATTATAAGTAAACAGACGAACACATATTGGATCAATTCTTTGAAATCGCAAATGATGAATTTTGCAATATAGACTTTAGCAAGCAGCTGCAAAGGATAGATTAGTAGTTAGATAAATGGGATATTTGCCCCCGGGGCTGATTGAATCAGGTTAGCAGTCGCGTTGAATATCAGATTTCCGAGTGGACTTCGACTTGGTGCTATTAGTCACCATCAAACCACCACATGCCCTAATTAAGTGAGTGCGTAATTAGCCTCCCCTCCTCCACCCTCTTCAGTTCCATTTTTTCTGCCTGTTGAAGAGCAACTTTAGATGGGAAAGGGCTGCGCGAGCAAAGCGATAATGTCAAGCTATGACGTTAAAACCCCCAAGAAACAAAAGTCAATTTCTCAGAAAGATGGGGTTATAATTAATTAGGGAAATGAACTATACTTGGCGAGTTTTAGTGCTATTGAGGAATTCTAGAAAAAAGAGGGTAAAATGATATAGATCATTTTAAAAATTTGTATAAGGATATACTAGAATCAGTGATTGGTTTCCATCCTATCACAACTGTTCTACAAACCACTAAAATGCCACTGATAGGAACAGCCTTCAAAATATTAATGATTGGAAAACCGATTTAAGCCTAATCTGATATGCTCGAATAAGGAGCAGTTAAAATCGATCTAAAGGCCAAAATGGTACCTCCTTGCATATTTTAAATCGAAAATATCTAATCAATGATTATTACATCACTCTTTAGCTCTAAATATAATACCTTTCCGAAGGCACATTTTAGCAATATAAGGTTGGTATTGTGATAAATTTAAGTCAGCATTACACACCTGACCCAGGACAATTACTTCTGGATTAAGTGGTTCCGAATCGCCGATATTGGGAAGATGAAGCAAGTAATCAAGGAGTTCCACAATTTTAGAATTTTGGACGATATCAAGGGAGATATCAGCTCCACCAACCTCGACGCAGTTGCGTAGGATGTAGGCTGCTCGATGTTGAATAGCTGGAGATGGATGTGCCACTAAGGCCTCAAATTTCTCCTTCCATTTGTCCACCTGAAGTTAAGATTTGTTAAAAGATATCAGCTCCTATCGAAGAGAGATATAAACAGACACTAACCTGAGTGATTCGCTTTAAAATGCCGATATCGTGAGACAACACAGCTAATGCACCAGCTGCAGCGCGTACAAGAAAGATGTCTTTCTCATCATAACAGTAGAGCGTCAATAATTTGATAACTTCCGAGCCACTTGAGCCACATTTAGCTATAATTGTCTCCGAGGCACCGTTTGTCTTGTCTTCAGGAACTCCTTCACCTCCGTAGGCTAAGACTACGGCGGGATGTTGAGCAAGGTTGCCAAAGCATTCCACAGCAGCGCGGCGTATGTCTTCATGTTCTTCGAACATATAGTGCTCAATTTTCGGAAGTGCCCCTTCAGCCAGCATACGAGAACTATACAAAAGGGAAATATTCTTGTTCAAAACCATCCATTTAGAAAGCATCATTTATAAGTAGAGAATGGAATCGTACCGATGCTTATCATCCAGAGACGCTAAATTTGTGAGAGCAAGAAGGCCTTCGAAGTTTTGTAGAGCTGGGCATTCCATATCAAGAAGCTGAAGAAGTGGTCTGATGACTTCCAGTGACTATGGAAAATAAATTAACTAAATTAAATAAAAGGTAAAATTTTATCAAAACCCAATGCCAATGACCTACTCTTTCACCGGGGAAAGTAAGTCTAGGATCGGCAGTAATTGACAATTTTGCGAGGGCCTGGGAAGCCGCATATTTTCCTTCATCTGTATTTTCACTCAATGCTAGATTCAGTAGAGCTTTTCCGGCTCCTGCAGCAACTAATGCACCACGGCAATCTATACACTCGGCACACGAAAGGTAAATTCTAAAAAGGATTCCAAAGATATAATACACAACTACTCATATATTGACAGTAGTATACATTTATAAACACCTTGAGACCATTTCGCGAACTTGTGGCTGTGAAGCTGAAGTTTTTGTCACCAATTTAGTTGTTATATTAAACAAACAGCTTGGCAACCCAACTTCAATAAGAGTTTTGCGTCTCTGAGCGACAACCTTCGGTTCATCTTGTTCATGCTTCTCGGGAATGTGCTGCTTCGCGAATTTCGCAATTTCAACCATCTCTGGAAGAACTTCTTTCTCGGGAAAGCTATTGGTTAGATTTGCGAGGAAACTAACTAATGGGAAGGCGGTGTCGTAGTATCCTAAATCTGCAACTTTGAATACGGCTTCAAGAAGCACTTTATCTTTAGCAACAGCTTCCTTAACTTCTCCAGTGAGGCTGAGATAGGCTAAACCATCGATAGCCCACCGAGTTGAATTTGGATCATCACGAAGAGCATTAGACGACTCACCGAGAAGCAATCTTCGGCACGCTTTCATTAGAATAACGGTTGAACCATCAGCCATGCTCTTAATACTGGCATCTGAACCGCCTAGCACACCGAGCTTGCATAAGCCCTGAACACAAAATGGTAGAGCCATTAACCGATTATGGAGCGGAACTTATATCAATAAAACACTACTAAAACTTTGTTAGTAGAGCATAGTTTATGGCCAATAGCTTACAAGCAAGGCACGGACTTTGATGCCATCGTCAGGTGATTTGTAAAGGGCTCGAAGAATGGGGACGGCTTGATTGACAATAGCCATACACTTGTCCTTTTTAGTAGTCGCCAGAATAATAGTATCCAGGGCGATAGTTTGATGGGTGAGATTTTCGGATTGGGTGAGGAGAAAGAGCCCCTCAAGAATGCCCTCGGTTCCAAGGACACGGGATCCAATTTCGTAGGGACCGCTGAAGAGAGTACCAATTATGGCTGCGGCTTCGATTTTACTTTCAATAAACTTATCTGTCAGAAGTTCCCTGCAACAGTAAATGAAAAATGGACAATCCTTAGTTATACAAGATGAAAAATGATGATTAGTTTTAAATTAGACCATCAAGAAGTTGCGGCGATATGACATAGACGAAAGACACCTCTTTGTAATTGAAAGACATAGGGTGATGGTAATTATAAAATAACTGAAATGGAATATTTATCGGTTCTCTGTGTTTAATTCAACTTTTCTTAGCGTGCTTTAATTAAGAACAGTCGTTGATGAGGCGATCAAGTGCAAAAAAAGTTGCCAAAACCAAAGGAGTCTCGTGAAAAACGAGAATACAGTCAACTGGATCTTCTACAAAAGTGATATATCAAGTAACTATGACTTAGAACAAATTCAGATGAAAGCAATTAGCCTCATTCTCTTTTAAGAATACCGAATTTTAAGGACAATTCATTGGCGCTCTTACGACATATTTAGCTAAACTAATTGACCATTTAAATCCTCTCAATTACTAATAACTCACATAACAAAGTCCACACAGACCTGGCAGAAATGCTGTCTATCCTGGTCAGACCTAAGATCATTAAATAGTCTGGATAAAAGGCATGCAACAATAAGACGAGTGTTGTGTGAGGTTTTGAGGAGGCCACCTCGAGAAATTTCCGGCAGCCCGGCTTCCTTTTCAACTTGAGATGTCTCCTCCACCAAGCGTTTTCTACGAGAGGATGATAAATTTAGGTTGCTTCTGTCCATAGCAGTTGCAGGACAAGTTGCTGCAGCAACTTCCAAAAGACGTTCAATGTTACCTGAAAGAGAGGGACGATAAGGGAGAGGAGAGGGCATCAAAAGTACAGCAATTCATGATCACACTCACCTTCGGTGTTGATGAAACGCTTCGACCACCCGATACCTGTCTCAGATGGGATAAGCCAAGTGAGGGTCTGGATTAGAACATCCCTGGCGGCAGCTTCTAGACGGTAGCTATTTGAAGCCCGCATAATCTGAGACAAAAGCTCTTGAACCCTTCCTTCAAGCGCTGGATCTGTTGGGAATTTAAAACGTATAATGATAACAAAGCAACAACCATTTTACAAAATTTGTTAGGGAGCTTTGTAGAGTGGCAAAGGCGCAGCAGTCAACATACACGTATTAAAAACAGAGGTTAAAATTTCATTGCTTATACAGTTGCGAATGCAGTGATGTGGGAGGTAAACCACACTAGTCAATTCCAGCCAACAAGAAAGACTCCTCAAAGCCTTCCTTCTACACTAGTCAGGTGTTGTGAACACTTTCCAAAATGAGCTTAGGAATAATTTAAAAGTTGTATGAAATCATAAATGGGACTAAAAAGAGGCTAGAACTAGGTAGTAACCAGGTGTATCAACATTAAGAAGGCCAATGGGAGATTAAGAAGAAATACTTTTACATTAAGTGCAGAATTTAAAAAAATTAAAAAAAGAAAGCCTAATTTCATGAAGCTTTATTTCGATTTTTTAAATATTACATTTTGCCTCCGAGTACAAGCGCATTCGTTGAGTGAGCATCAAAAATTTATAAACTCCAAAAGATAAAAAAAATTATGCAAAATAAGGTAGGTATGAGGATGATGAATTACGCATAAGCTCTCTGAAGGCCCCTAGGAGTCCGCGAACTGCAGTAAACCTATCATGCCTTTAGACCAAAGTTGGTCATTCAGAGCCTTATTACAAGGATGTCTCGGAAGTGGCAGCCAAAGACTCGTGTAATGCAATAAGGTATGGTTTTTGTTAGAGGCGAAAAAAGATAAAGAAAGATCTTACAAAAGTCTGAAGCGTCTATTAGTGTAACGTATTGATAAGTGGACTCCGAATTCGATCAAAACTGAACATGATATGCAATTTCAAAAACAAACAAATATTCAAAAATACACCGCTAAAAATGATAAATATTTTCTGCACTCTTCGACCAAATTTAAAAAATGCTCATTAAGTCCCTTAAATTAGCAAAAACTTACATAACTAAAAATATATTGAAGCTCAAAAAATTATTCACCTTATGGCAATTTATTTTTCATTTAGACTATCGATTTAATGCTTATAAATCACCCTAATTCTATGCAGATAGATGGACTTTGTTAGGAATGAATTTCAATAGCATTAACACAAAGAAATGTAAAAAAATCGATTAGAAAAAAATATATAAGCTGATAGTTCATTTTTTAGTGACCTAAGTTAACGAAGTAATACTATTGGCCAGAAGGGAAGCGTGACAAATGCCGAAAAAAGCAAATCGATAAGTAACTGTCCGAACGCGCGTTCGCACACTAAGCGCGCATGTGGTGCCTATTGGCAGAGGGAGAAAACGTGGTAAAGGCATGGAATTCGATTGCACTTAAAGAAATATTTCTTGAAATTTCTATGGTGAGAAATGATCAAGGCTCAGAGAGATTACTGAAGCGAAATAAGAGAAAATTGAAATTCACCTACCCAATTGGTATGCGGGATAGACCTCTTTGGGGAGGAAAGTTTGGGCCTGTGTCTTGTTACGCTTAGCGGCCTCCAAGGCGGCATCATGGGCTTTTCTATAAGACTTGATCTCCGTGATACTTTCGAGGATATGCGAGATGAATTTACACATTTCGACGGATACGTCAACATCTGGTGAAAGAACTCGTCCAAAAATATACTTGTTCGTCAATCTGTCGAGAACTATTACTCCCTAGTAAAAAGAAAAAAGGAAAATTAAACAAATCTGAACTAAAGTCGAGCATTCTAAGCACTTATACATCAACTGATTACAAAAGAAAACATGTGAGTGATTATATTTCATTGGTAAAAGGAAAAAAACATTCAGTAACTCACCAATGACGGAAGAGCTTTCACAATTTTCTCTAATAACAAAAGAGAAGTGCCGACAATTTTTGTTTTATCACAATTGGTCAAATCAAACAATTTTTGAGAGCTTGAATGAGACCACAAAGTGCTTGCCGCAGTCTTCCCCTCATCTTTTATTAAAGCGATCATGTTTGATAAAGCCTTCCCAATAAGATCATCATCTGACTTTTCGTCAGTAAGAATGGAATACATTGAATCCACTTTTCCCTTAAGGCTCTGGGCGAAGTCCTTCTTTTCTATAACGCATGATTCAACCCTTCGAATCAATTCCTGAATGGATTTGTTATTCGGTTCCAACTGAATAAGCATTTTCGCATCTACAATAGACTCCTTTAATTCACCCTGTTTCTCGAAAGCAACCGAACGGCGAAAAAGAGCCTTCGTGTCAGTAGGACATATCTTAAGAGCTATTGAATTGAGTGTAAATCAAATAATGCTAATTACCTTCGTTTGCTGCTTCCACGGCTTCGTGGAATTTATTCAGATTTAGATAGCATTGGGCTAGGTTTCGATTTACAACCTGCTGACGTTTCTTATCATCTTGTAAGTTTTTTAAGCATTCCTTATAAGAATCAATAGCTTGTTGGTATTTTCCCTCGGAAAAAAGGGAATTGCCTTTTTTATGCAATTGCTCGCAGATCTCTACCATTTCGAACACAAATTCAACAGTTGCGGACTAGCATTGACGCCGATTTAGCCATTTAGATTTAAGATTTTGTGAGCTTAAACAATTTCTTATTAAATAATTAACTGCTTGATTTCATTTATAATTTTTAACTATTTGCGAAATATTTCTTTAAATTTTGCAATATTGAGCATATTTTACGGTAACTTTTTCATTATAAACGGCACGAAAGCCTTTTGATATATTGAAATACTAACTAACTAACTTTCAAATGGAATGCGTTTCGATAATTATTAATGGCCTTTAAGCTGACTTTAAGCTTCACAGAAAGGAGGGGGACCATCAAAGCGAGCAAAATTCGAGAGGGGAAGCATAAGGGAGATTAAAATATGTAAAGGAGATAGACAGACCGACACATAAGCAAAGAAAAAAGGAAAGTGAGTTCTTTATAATTGGTAGAATATAACATACAGTCGAATCATGGCAGTTTGAAGTCAGAAGTCAACTTCCGGTTTATAGACTTTTTTACGTTGCCCAGGGCGCATCACGTTGATAAAAATCTAACGCACACCCGATATTTTGGAATGCATTAACATGCTAATTCATTGCTTGCCCTGTAATTCTTATAAAATCAGCATAAATTTCTAAGTCTAACACTTTTTAATGTGGTACCTATTTCAATCATCGCAATCATTGAGGAATTAACTTACGCCATTCTAGGGAACAGGATAAAGTTGAAATACCCAAATGAATCATATAACCTTTATTTTGAGTAAGATCGAGATCCATAAATTGTATAAAATATGTTCAATCCAACTTCGAAAGTAGAGAAATAATTAAACAATTGAATTTCCCAAGCTATTCATTTCTTGTCAGTAGAAAATGGAAAGGAATGCGAAGTTTTTATTTCAGTGTCCTTTACATACAAGTTTGTTACTCAGAGTTTCATACTTCAAAAAGATTTTGTATTCATTCGTAAATTTTGAAAAAGTGGCATAACGAAAAAAAAGCTCCCGTTTTAATGAGTCTACGGTTAAGTCACAGAGACCGTTGATGTACTGATATTCGATTGTCTCGAATTTAAGCATTCTAGGTTGAACTGTTATTAAGTTATTACGAAGGAGTGTCCTAAAGGGATTAGAAATCCTACCTGGTAGTAAATCAAGTAACGTTAATTGGCAAGTTGCGTAAACTTAGCTAAATGCTGGAAGAATTTGAACAGATGAGGTAAGGTGATGAAACTAAAGACGGAAATACTTGTTTTAATTTAGTATAACTTTAAATCGAAGTCTTAAATGTAATATTTTTACAAAATTGAGTGAATGCGGTTCAAACTGAGCTGATTTAATATTTTTCTTTTATGTAATTGTTAGAGTAGTAAATATCATTTGGTAAGCTTGAAGCTTTGTGAGTCTGTCAGTTTTGTTTTATACAGCTAAGCATCAATGTGATTTAAAGTTAATCAGGATAATACAATTTTTCCTATTTATCAGTACTCAAATAATAGCAGTAGTATCTTCAATCAAACACTCCGGGTTGAATGAATTGAAGAACTTTAGAGGTAGGGCCAAGAATTCTGGTTGGATCGAGTCTAAAAAATCCGACTTTGGATAATTGATTCAGAGGGATTTAAATTACCCGTAGGCGGTATCGATATACGAGATCACTCTGCATGTGAAATGTTGACAGTTATGGGAAATTTGCATTAAACCTCCATATACATAGAAACGGTCATTTCTTCTTTAATGATATTTTCATCAAATAATTATCAGCAGAGCTCAGTAAGTTCCAGCTGCAAATATACCAAGGTAATAAATAAACGCTATCTCTGTGGCAACTTATTTTTACAAGTAAATAATTTTGTGGAAGAATTGATTAAAGGATATTCTTTTTCAGTTATCCTTAAAACTAAAGATTATTTTGCTTTGTTAAAAGGAGGCTTTCCCTAAAATTCTACAAAGATTACTTGTCTGTGCCTTTCAGTCATGTTCAACTGCCTATGTCTCTTTTTAAACGGACTACTCCTTGAGTAGTAATGGCAACTTCAATTAGAAACTGACACGCAGGAAAATATTGAAAAAAATTATAGACATCTAGTTATTGTTATCGACTATGACGACGCAAAAATCTTGTACAAATTAGCGTCAATAAAAGGAACAGCAAACGAATTTAATAAGCGTTGAATCATGGATAGTGAGCAAGTAGAAAAGTGTAGGTCTGTCACCAAGAATCTCACCGTATTTAAATTCTGAAAGCATTAAGTTGAACCATTTCTCTTATGTTCATAAATGCTTGAGATTGAATTCATGATGTTAAGGCTTTGTAAACCAGTTGGTTTAGCTCGGTGATTGGTTAAAATACCTTGGTTATGACGATATAATACCACTCCACTTTCAACAGCAAAAACGGCTTGAACGATTCTCAATGCATCAGGGCTAACTAGTGTTTACTAGATCTGAATTATTTAAAAATTAAAAAAATTAATAATGTCATGAAGGTTTTTATTGAAACTGAGGGTAGCATGAGTAATTGGTTGAAGAATATGAATTTACATTAATGTTATCTCATAAGTAGGAATTATGACCTCGAGTTGTGAATGGAAATACTCACAATACGTCACAATGATCAAATGTTTGAATTTGGCAATAATCCCCCACCATTCTGTTACTTAAACTAGTGGTCTTTAATTCGTTGAATAGACGGATATCTTGTAAATTGCTTAAGTTTTAATTTGTCCATAAGTATTGGAGTTAGTTACCACAGATGTACTAATGATTTGCCATTACAATAAAGTTTAGGCTTCAGGAACTTTAGTTCTGTAAACACTAAACAGTTTTTCCCTGCATTACCTTTATAAAAAGGGGTGTGCGATAGACTTACCTCCACGTGGTGCACCCTGGGCAACGTGTACTTATACGGCAAAAAAGTCAATTAATCGGCAGTTGATTTCTGACTTCAAACTACCATGATTCTACTGTATGTCATATTCGACTACTTTCACAGTACTAACCTCACCTTTTTTCTATCTTTCTACCTTCGTCTTTGAAAGATTCTTCTGTCCCCCCCCCCTCTCGACTTTCTTTCACCAAAGGGCTAATGATAACCATCAAAATGCCTGTCATTTGATATAAATAAATACCTTTATAAAAACCGACTGTGCCAATCGAGTATTGACGTTGAATACGCATAACAAGATCACGACGTTATTGTCGGCAGATGGAATTCCAGAAGAAAATGTATAGATTATGGGAGATTTGCCGCACAAATCTAATGAGACCGAAAGCGTAAACGATATTTCGGCGTGAGTAAAGGGGAACATATCCAGGCAACCAATCAGATAATGATTAACTTGGCAACTCCCTTTTTCGGCTGCGCCTACTCGACAGCCTCTGCTCAAAATGCAGAATTATCAAATTTTATTTAATTTCATGATTACTCCACGAGGATTTAAAATAATTGAAATGGATCTATTTTAATAGGTTGGAA